AAACGAAGAAAGAAACATAGTAAGGGAATGACACGGGAACATAAATTCATGCAATTGGACAAAAATAAGAGTGTTCGCTACAGTGCCAGTACGTTTAATCATAGCCAGAAGGCATGATGTAAAAATGTTAGGGTAAGCTCTGCTTTTAACCTCCCTGCCTGTCAGCGATTAGTGATGTGAGTTGATCTGCTAACTCAGAAAGAATGCTCAGGCCCGAAACAGACCAATCACGGGCCGGACCTGGAATATGCACATCTCTGTCCAGAGTTCGGTCAAAATGATGAAACTAAGAGAAATTCACACCTGAATAGCATATTGCAGCGAGAGTTTGTATAGAGGTGTACACCAGTGTGGTTACAGTTATGTAAGCTTAATTTTGGCTTATTATAAAAGAAATAAAATTTCATTCAAAGTGGGAAATGACTGCCCAAAACACATAGAATGTGTTCAATACATCTGAATGATCATCAACAAAAGAAATATATAATTAGATGTTTTTAATTACATTCTATTTGTCTCAGAAAAATACAATAAAATAAAAAAATTATATGTTTGACACTGACTTCAAACTTAAGTTTAAACTATGTAATAATGCCTTAAATCCACATACCTGTGGAACAACTATATGTGGGTCAATATCACTGTAGGGTGCCTTTTGGTGTCCTGTACATAACTAATTTGCCATGATAACATAAAAATGACTATGAAAGGGTGTGTTATATTAGGCTAAGTTTTATATTCATAACAAATGCATTACTTGGCCCTTTAGATACATTTTCTAGATTTTTTTTAGTTTCGTGTAAGAGGATGCGTGTTATTTTGCTGTGTCCCATGCACTGCTCATTGAATTCGAATGATAATAGAATATTGTCAAATCATACAATTTTTTGTAAAAATTATCCTATTAATATTTTGTTAAATAAGAGATACTCAATTTGAGTGTATTGATCATTTGGTAATAAAAAACTATATTTTTATTTAATAAAAAAGAAGAGTTTGTCCATGTCCCTTGAATGGTTGTCCACTATTGGGGAATCCGCCCCTTTAAGAAAAGGCCATCCCCTTTAGTGACATCAGGACAACAGATTTTTTTGTCTCTTCAGTGGCAGGAATTTCAACGGCTGAGGTTAGTAAATTGGTGACTTTTCAATTGACAAATTTTGTTCGAATGAGTTTGCTTACTTGCTTTGCCAAAGCTTAACATGTCCACCCTGTCGGCATAAAATATGCCAGAAGTGACTCGAATACAGTATTTTCAAAATATGTAAGTTTAAATATACCAAATTCTCTTCAACAACCAGACTAAATATTTAGCTAGTCACAGTTTGTTGTAAGCTAATATGCTAATTGAAGCTCAAAATGTCCACCCTGTCGGCCACTTAGACTCAATTGGGTGGACATAAACATGACAGGGTGGATAATAGCATTCATTTGTAGTTAATATTGCTAAAAACTCAAATGAATGGGGGAGGGTATATCAATGTGTTTGAGAATGTAATTATATTATTTATTATTATTATATTATTTTTTAATAACCCTGTTTAGGAAAGAGACATCATACCTTTCAGAATATAATTTGCATATTAATTTTGCAATGAAAATGTATTTAACAGTAATATATATGTCCATGACAGGGTGGACATATCTTATGGGTTATGCTTCGAATCATGGCCCATAATTATCTAAAAAAAAATGTGTGGGAGCTCAGCTAATATGTTTCTAGTACTTGAGTGTCTACTATTTATGATATGACATAAAGCGAATGGGAAATTAAAACGAACATTTTTGAGTATTGTGAGGGTTGAAAGGCACTCTATGGTGATATTGACCCATTTTTCAAAAGGCAGATATTTGTGACCAAAAATGTTCAGAATTTTTTTTGGTTGTCCCTCATTCATGCAATTTTTACCTGTAAAATTTGCACATATATTTTTTCTGTCTGTTATAATACAGTATTCTATGAAAAGCCATGTCCCATAAGCAATAAATAACAGTAGTTATTTATATTATAAATTTTTTTTTTTACAATTTTATAGATTTATGTAAAATGCCTCCACTATTCTATACTAATGATTATAATTCATATAATCTCATAAAATACTATAAAAATATAGCTTGAATTATTTTAGCAATTAAATGCCTTATTTCAATAGCCATTGTCTTACTAAATCACTCTAACTTAGCTATCTTGTTCATAATTGACTTGATGTAGTTACTAATTAGCCAACTTTAAATTATGTATCTTTTATGGCACTTCAAGGTGTTGGAAAGATCAAGTAATTAGTTTAATATGTGCCCACACATTGCTATATTCTAACATTGTTTATCCTTTTACACAGGTTAATGCAATACAGTTGCAAGACCAATGAAAAAAAGATTTTCTCAAACACCTCTGCACAATTTTTCTGTATTATCAAGCCATTTAAAACATTAAAAATAATATTTCTTCTGAGAAATATATTATTAAAAATAATGAGATAACTCTCACTAAGAAAAAAAAAAGAAAAAAAAATGGATTTAAATACATTTTCTACCAAAATCAATTTCATCTAAATATAGCCTTGCCGTGATGGTAATTGGTTTGTTAATATCTTTTCAAACTAAAGGAATCACATCTGGGACAGATATGCAGGGCTGTGCCAATCATAGAGGATTTAGAGCTGTCAGTCAAACATTTTATTGAAACTGACTAGTCAATACTAGCTGCTGGGCAAAATGAACATGGTTAAACAAGGTGCAATACCCCTTTAAGAACCAGAGAACATCAAAGTGACACATTCCTGTCAGCTTCATCCATCGAATCCCAGACCTTTCGACAGAATTCCAGAGCTCAGGGAGAATTCCGAAATGCTGAAGTGATTCCAGACCCAGGGAAACCTTTTAGAACTCAAAACAGGTTCTAGGACTGAGAGAATTTGGAGTGAGGCAATGCAGTCTGGATGGGGCAGATACAGGCGGCCTGTTCTGCTTCTTCAGCTGCTGGAGCTGAGCTGCTGTCATAGCAACAGCAGCCGACATCACCAGCAGTCCCAGCATGGTCCTCGACACAGCCCCGGAGCACTCACACTACACAGAGAAAGATTGGATGCTCACATACCAGCACTCACATATGTGGACACGCACTAACACAACGCAACTAATATGTACACATACATGACCAAACATGAGCACACTGTCACAGAGCATATTAGAAATTCACAGACCAAATACACACACAGAACCTGACATCAGAGGACACTTTAAACACACTGGACCACACACACACCACATATCACAACATAACAATAACCTAAGCTGCCAAGAATGATCTATTAACATAGGCGTATATAATAGTAATTCTGAAAATGATCAACTTGGAAATTAACAGTGACTATTTTCACTATTTATCATTTTATTGTTATCATAAACATCAATACATATTCATATTCACAAGTGGGCAGAGTGCTGCTGAGCTAATTACAATGTTACTTCAACAACAGCACTCAGTTCAATTTACCTGAACACTTAAGAGTTGGACCAACAGAATCCTTCTTCATGCTAAGTTAATAAACCATCAAAATAAGGAAACGGATCATTTTAAACTAGTTTACTCAACACATTTTTAAATAGAAGAAAATATCCTTTGTAAAGGATAGTGAACTGTTTTCTGTTCTGGTAACTTTTCACTGTACATTCAGTGTATTTATAAAGTGCATGATTATAAATGGGATAAATTATTGGCTTTTGTTTACTTATATAAATATTGTTATGGCCTACATTGTTTTATTTGAACCTTTTGTATATTATTGTAAAATTGTTTAGAACGGGGTACTTTAACATACCCCCAAATCCCTATAGCCTACTACTAAAAAATGACGACTTAAATTCCATTGCTATTATTGTTTTGTAATCATTGTCATTTTACAATAGAACAAAAACATCTGAACCATGCTGATGTATTATGTGGATTATTTCATTCAATATATTTCAGTATGTAGCCTACGCAATAGGAATATTTTCACTTTGTTGATTAATAGAAATATAAAGCCCTTTCACCCTTTTGTTTGTATCGGAAATTTTCTCTTTATTGCGACACCAGATACTGCCTACCCGCTTTGTAACCACTGCGTCCACGCGCTGCACCGTCTACTTCCTGAAAAAAAAGAGACTTAGCTACAAAAACATAGTACTTCGTTACGGCTGCTTTTTTATTTCATTGTAAGCCACGGAAGACGTTTCTGTCACAAAACTGACAGTAGCTATTAAATCCTAAAGATTCTAAACGAGAAAGGTCAATTTGGGACGGTCTCTAGCGAGTTGGCGGCAGCATTGCACGCGCAGGTCCGATTCAAACAGGTGGAAAGAGTGGGACAGTCTTATCTCGTGACGGCGGCTTGTGAAGGCGGTCTGTTTTAACCCGCATAGCGTTTTTTGTTTGAAACATTGCTATTAAAATAATTCGAGTCGTTTTTGCTGAAGATTCTCGCGCCCGGATGACATCAACAGGCTTGTGCCACATCCCGTTTTAGAACGCTGTCTCGCGCCGGTCGTTTGAAAATGGGCCGTTAAAGTCTGTTACACGCCGAGCTCTTTTTACCCCTTCCTGGAGCCAGAAAGATTGTGTGTGTGTTTTTGTTTTTTACATTTACGGCATCGACCCTCGGGGTTTTTCCCACTTGCTCTGGTCCTCGAGCCGTTTACGCACAGGTGGGAGATACCCGCTTGGTAGGACAGCCCCCTCTCTCAGTTCCTCAGCGGATGATGTGTGCAAGTGACATTTGCCGTTGCGGTTTGGGACAGTAGGCGAGGCGTCTCTGCAAACAGGTGTGCGACTTCCCAAAAAAGGCACGCATAATACGACTTTTTTTCGCCTTATTTAGCGGAGGTGGACCTCCAGCACCGGTGTCGAAGCGATCATCCTCGTAGCGGGACAGGGAGAGGAGGGGGAGTCTACTATCGTTTTCAGGCTTTGTAGTTGCATTTGATCGTTTCGAAAAAGGGGCTCGCGGCTCACAAAGAGGAAGGGATGGCAACTAAGAAACCATGCGCGGATTTAACAAAAAGGAGCCGAAGTCCCGTCGTGCTGGAGGCTGAGATGTTCAGCGAATTTCAGGACTGGTGTCTCCGGACTTACGGAGACTCGGGTAAAACAAAGACCGTGACGCGCCGAAAATACAACAAAATCATGCAGACCCTGCTACAGAACGAGGAGTCGGACGGTGTCTATGTCGACAACAGCCACATCAACGCCAAATTCAAATTCTGGGTGAAGTCCAAAGGCTTTCAGGTCGGCAGCAACATCTTGGGCGAGCACAACAAGAAAGAGACATCGGGGAAGCCCGTCCTGTACGTCCCTGTCAAGTCTACGGTAAAGTGTTTTTTCTCTCTCAGTTGACTATATGTGAGTGAATCGTGTCTCTCTCTCTCTCTCTCTCTCTCTCTCTGTGTGTGTGATTGTGAGACTTTAACTCTCAGTATGGTTCAGCTGATGCTGGAGCCCTTTCTCAATATGCTTCGGGACAGCGCTCGTTTGATTCCACCTACGCGCAACCCACATTGCTGTGCGCAACTTTTCAATCTTACACCTCGGGTTGACCGAGCATATTCATCCCTCACCCCAACCGGGCAGAACAGTCTTACTCTGAGAGCTGGCTGCCGTAGCAACGCCGGTCCCTCTTAGCAATAACGGCGGTGTAGTAATGGTATCTGACCAATTGATATGACGTTGTCCTGCTGACGGGATCGGGATGTCACAGAAAACCACAACGTGGCCCGTTTTTTTATCCCAGCAAATTATGATAATGTTTATTGAGAGAACGTTATTTTATTCACTTTGCCTTGTGTCACTGGACGTTTGGAGGCGGGAGCGCGTGTGTGGTGAGCTCGTGTACCCAATTGTCGGGGATGCCGGGGCGCGCACGGAGAGTTTTCCTAAGGGGCTAACAATATGGTGGACGTTAAAATACAGCTATATTGCTCTAAATGAATAGGTATGTTCTGAGGAATGGGTGTTTGGGGGACTTCAGCTGCTCTCGTGGACCACTTGAGGGTCTGCTCCTCCTGTGGGCATCAGGCACTGACACTCGCGCGCTCGCCGTTCAATGTGTCATTTAGGGCGACATTTAACAAACATTAAACGTTGAATAAAAACAGCGTACTTTGAGCAAGTGTAATGCTCAACTATTTCAACATCGTGCCTCGTACGTTTTTATTCTGGAGAGGGAAAGCAAGCTCTTGCATTGTTCTGTACCGGATGAGGGCGGAGCGGACGGTTGGCACCCGTTGCTCTGGTAACCTACCTTGTTCTGCTCTACAATACTCGCGTTTTTTCACACATCCCAGGACTATGACAGAATCTATCATTAGAAAGACAGCCAAAGCAAGGGCTCATTTAGAATCAGTTTGATGACCAAGGAATGGACAGAAATTCTGCACCCCAAGGATGCGCGATGTTTAATTTGTTCGATGCATAAAGGCATTTGGTCACGAAGCTTATTTAAAGACCCGGTCTGGACAGTAATAGTTTTAATAATAGTTCATTGGATAAAAATAGTTATCACGACCTATCATTACAGTGCATGTTTTTCTTTTTTGTTAATTTAGAATATAAAATGACCAAATTTAATGTACTGTAAAGGCTGAGATATACATGCAAGTGACTGTTTTCTTGAACACTAGGAGGTCCTGGACTACCACTGGTGCATTATGCTGTTCAGGGTGTCATGAACAGACACCATTTTGAGTATTGCCCTCAAGGGGTCCCACCAACAGACCTTTGTCTGCCATTCGGGAGGGACCAACTCCCCTGAGACTGGCACACCTCAGCCTGAGAAAAATAAGCCCTCAAATTAGAAACAATGGTGACAAGACTGTTTTTAATGAGCATTTTAATGGCTGTTCATACATGTTTCACTATTGACATAAAATCCCAGGTGTTTATTTAAAAACACAAGGATCAGTATGCCAACGGGAGCCACCAAGTTAGCACTCTGTACAAAAAAAGTATAATTTTACATTCTTTTTTTTTTTTTTTTTAAAATAACCAAAGGTAAATTAGCATCGATTAATCCTCGTTAGCAGATAATTGCTATGCAACCATTTGACAGCTCCTAACAGGCAGCTCCCAGCGTGCTTTTCATTTATAAGACTGTGTTAAGAAGAAATGAGGCAGACTCCGAACATAGTAATGCCTCCCGACCAGTTAACCCTTCACACAGATGTGTGGGTTAAACTACCCAAAGGACATCCAGTGAGCTTGTGGCAATTACAGATTCTCTATCCATAAATTGCTCCTGTAATGGAATTAATGTGCAAGTCAGATGTGAAACTGAAGTTCTTGATTACACATATGTATTACTTGTTGAGAAATAAAGCCCTCCCCTCAGCATACACAGACATTTCTCCACCCACCGCTTTCTCTCTCTTTCTCTGAGGACATGTGGCTGATCTGAGGTCTGTATACACTGGCATAGACTATCATTATTTAACAGCTCCCTAATGCCGTATTTGTTTTACCCTTCATCAGTCATTCTGTCCCTCTGTGGAGACTCTGTGCATCCTAATAGCCTCCTGCCACTGCATGACACATACACATACACTACATCTCAAAAATGATCTGTCAGTCACACAGATGACCAGTTCTGTCATATGGAAGAGGTTATTTGATCTGTGGCCATATAGTCAACATTTGAAGTGGATCAAAACCTTTCATCAAAATTGTCCTAAAACCTAAAATCAAAATGCGTTTGTGTCTTAGGACAACTTAGATTAACTTTTTTGATCCACTTCAAATGTTGACTACTATACAGCGTACAGTGCCGTGAAAAGGTTTTTGCCCCTTCCTGTTTTTTTTTTTTTTTTTTGTTTTTTTCACAC